ACCGGTTACCGGTTGAACGGTTACCGATCCACACCGGTTACCGGTTGAACGGTTACCGATCCACACCGGTTACCGGTTGAACGGTTACCGGTCCACACCGGTTACCGGTTGAACGGTTACCGGTCCACACCGGTTGCCGGTAGAACGGTTACCGGTTCATGCCGGTTACCGGTCCGCACCGGTTACCGGTCCGCACCGGTTACCGGTCCGCACCGGTTACCGGTTGAACGGTTTCCGCTGAAGCGGTTACCGATTGCTACGATCAAGCGGTGTCTAATCGTCACCGTTGCATCCCTAGTTGGGATTCCGAAATTTCGCCAATAAGACTTTCGCCAACTGGACATTCGCCAATGGTGAAAGTCCAGCGATCTACTGGCTAAAGTACAGTGGACATTCGCCAATTGGCGAAAGTCATAAGAGTATATTGACGAAAGTACAGTGGGCTCTTTCGAATTGTCACAAACGAATATAAATGTCGGTTGCATGTGTGGAACTAGGATATCAGGCTGCAACTTACTGTTTCTGTTAGAATCTATTTGAATATGATCAGATTTTTTGTAATAAGATAAAGCGAGAATAATATGGGTAATAAAAAAAGGTATTTAAAAAATCTAATCTTCATTTGGTGATAAACCTGATAGTGAGTCTGATACATCTGATTTAGAAATATTATTTTTGTTTTTTTTTTGCTTTTCTTCCATGCCAAACAGGTTGACGGACAAGATGAGCAAGAGATTTAATTGTATCAGACAAAGATCTTGTTTTAGATTGCAATAAGCGTAGCAATTTTTCGATTTGTTTTGTATTACGTGCAGCTTTACGTGTTGATTTGTTTGATTTTGTAGAAGAAAATCCTAAACTAGTTTGAACCATACGATGAGAGATTACATTTTCTTCTTGTTTTAAACATTGAATAAATCTCCATATATTTGGATGAGGTTGAATAACACGTGTAGAAAAACGTTTATTTTGTGCTTAACAAAAAAAATACAACATTAAGAATTCAGTAATATACGATTTAGAGTGATAGTAAAACGGCATTTTACCTTCTGCAAAATTATTGGTTCTCCATGTGTTTGTATTAACAGACCATGTTGAAGGTGTAAAAGTATTTAACCATTCTTTTTCGAAATACGAGACAAATGGTTCTAATTGTCGTGTATGATTAGAAACTAACACTTTGTGTTGTAAGAGTTTAAAACCATCTGGAATGATCTCGATAGGTAGTAAGGCTAGTGCCATAAAATCACGTAGTAATTCTCGTAATTCAACATCATCATCATAGAATGTCACAAGACCTAGCTTCTGAATATTTCGATAGCAAGACTGTGTGAAATGAAACCAGCATCCGGACACGTATGTTTGCGGTAACTGTTTTAAGAAAATATAAAAAAGAACAAGTTTCTAGCTAATATAGATGAAACACATATACCTGTTCACCAATAGTATTGATAAATGCCTGTTCAAAATCACGGATAATTGTTTTAGGTTTCAAATCAACATTCATGTCCGATGCTAATCTATTTAGACATCGAAAAATTGCTTTGTATGTTTCAACGAGTCTATTTGATGTCAAAATGAAACATACTGGCACAGCTAAATATATAAGAAAATGATTTAAAAAACTCATATTTTCATTTAAAAGAAAAAGAATATTATTGAACGTTCAATAATGGTTCATACTTCTTCTCATAACTACTTTAATCTTTCGCTTTCTTAACGATACGATTTCCTTTGCACACCGCATCACTCGCATTCTTCATCTATATGTGCACTATGCCTATTTCTCTCTCTCATATATTATTTTTCTCTTTTTCACATATTTTTTTTTCTTCTCTCTTATACGTAAACAGATATCAATGGTTGGAGGAAAAAGAGTGATATATATATATGTCGTAGTAGAAATTAAAATTCAGTAGAATTTAAAATTCTACTAGGAGAAATTAAAATTTCAATTTCTTCTAGTAGAAATTGAAATAACCGGCGATTTTAAGTTGCACTAGTGGAAATTAAAATTTTAATTTCTACTATAGGAGAATTTTAAATTCTACTAGAAACTTACACTATAGAATTATGTGAATATCTCCTAGAATAGAAAATAAAATTAACCCTCATTCGAATGATACAATATGTAGAACGCAAAGAAAAAAGATTTTGATATTTAATTTGAAGTTCTCGCGTCAGTATCAAAATAAAAAAGACTTGAATATTACATGAAATGGAACCATTTTATTCGAAATTTGATAAACATATAGAATCTTTAGGCGAAAGATTTCGTTCAAAGTTTGTTATCACACAAGCTGCTTATAATGACATCATATACGGTAATAAAAGGTGGTTGGGGTGAAACTATTTAAATTCTAGCTCCATAAACACTTTAAATTAGTTACTATTGGGGAATTACAAGTTGTTTATGCCATTAAATCGAATAATCCAGTGATCGCAAGGTTTAATTTTATTTCTATTCTAGGAGATATTCACATAATTCTATAGTGTAAGTTTCTAGTAGAATTTAAAATTCTCCTATAGTAGAAATTAAAATTTTAATTTCCACTAGTGCAACTTAAAATCGCCGGTTATTTCAATTTCT